GTAAAGCATGTCTTTGTATTAGATATCGGGAAAGGGTCCTCCAGAGAATAGTATGTATCCGATTCACATGCATTATTCGCTTCCTTCAATGTTTTTTTACTTACGTGCGGCCTTCTTTCTTTGAGGTCTACTTTACTTAGTAAGGCCAGGCATTCTCCATCACATCCTTCAAAACCATTTGCTCCGGTGCACCGTTCATCATTTCCCATACTTGATTCTACTTCGATTTGGGAGAAGTCACATGAATGTGGAAGCTGATGTTCATAATTATAACTATTTGAGCTGTTGGAAATACACTCAACATCGTCATTGAAATGAACTCTGTTGCCATTCACACGTTTAGATGACTCGACACATGTCAGCAGGTTTCCACATGAACATTGGGGTGATTTCTTCCTGATGCATCCTCGTGCTCTTTTGAAGCCATGTGATACGTTGCCATCTATCGAATGTCCAGAGTAGTTTAGTTGGCGTTTTCGATTAATTGTGCAAAAGCTTTCATGTTCATTATTTTCAGATTGTGCCTCTTCAAAGGGGCAATTTACAATTAATGGGCCATGACTAAAATCACAAGTACGTACTTTTAAAGTTTTCTGATCATCGCATTGAATTTCTCGAGCTGCAATATTTGTAACTGCTTCTTCTTTCGACGACGCGCATTCGCCACACTCTTCCACTAAATCCAACTCATCGTTCCCATCCCCCATCTCCTTGGATGCGCAATTTGAATAATCAATTATCCTAAACGATGTATAACCGAAATCATCGCAGTGGCTTTCATTTATTGAATTTTCTGATTCATCAGAGCCGTACCAACTGAGCTCATCCCTAACAAACTGTACAAAAGACCAGAAAAAACTTCCACATTCGTTTTCAACTGGTGCCGACTCTTTCTTCTTCTTCTTCAATTTTTGTATTTCAACATATCTTCTTTCATTTTCATATTTACTCACGATTTTTGCAATATCTCGGAGGATTTCAGGAAGCGCCTGATGTGTAAGTAGGAGAAGACAGGTTGGTGTATGAATTCCGACTTCATTTTTACTCTCCTGGAGTCTCCTCATTGTGTGGGGGCACGTTTCATCTCTTCGATGTCCCCGCTGAGGTTTCTTATTGAGCATTTCAAAATCACGGCCTATTATGATGAAGACCCGCTTATTTTGAAAGTATCAAAATCGGCAAAACCATGATCTTTAATGAATGGTAGTTATATAGATGCTGCAAAAGCACATGCGTTTAGCCAAGTAGTAGGTTTCGATGTGAAAATCAACATGAACACACGACAATATGTACTTTCACTTCATTGATAACGCAATTGTAGTAAATGATTTCCGTTGTGATACCATGCCAATCTAGTTATCGCATTTATTACACTATTATGAACCATTTTTATAACCTCAATTGCTATTCATTAAACGCGTGCACACTCAAAAAAGATGGAAAGAAAAAACTCGTAGTTAAAACAGCTGTTTTCAATAAATGAAATAAATTTAATTTCATGGACTTAAGTTGGTGATAAATCATAGAATGTCAGGTTAGCCAATAGCTGCAGCAATAGCTTCACCACAGGTGGTCTACTATATTGAAGCGTGAGCGTGGAATTTCAATAATCGAAAATTCAACTATTTTAAAGTGAGGAATGTGACCAAAATATTCCATTAGGTTATATAATACACTCATCTCTCCTCCCTAAAGCTGGCTTTTAGTTCATCTTCTATGCCTTACTCCACCGTAAATCTCTCAGAAATCTCTATGGCAGATTCTCCAACATCTAGCTACCGGCTCAGAAATTTCTATGGCAGATTCTCCAACATCTAGCTAGGAATCAGAAATCTCTATGGCAGATTCTCCAACCTCTAGCTAGAGAACAGCTAAGCTATAGCTCAGCTATAAAGAAAACAGACGTGTAGCACGGAGCGCGTTTATATCTGTGGCAGATTCTCCTACATCTAGCTAGACTCCCAGAACGGCAGATTCTCCAACGTCTAGCTAGACTCCCAGAACCAGGGAGATTCTCCTACATCTAGCTAGACTCCCAGAACCAGCTAAACCATAGCCCAGCTATAAAGGAAACAGACGAGTAGCACGGAGAATTCTCCAACATCTAGCTAGACTCCCAGAACAAGCTAAGCTATCGAACCAGCTAAGCTATAGCCCAGCTATAAAGGAAACAGACCGAAACTAGCTAAGCTATAGCCCAGCTATAAAGGAAACAGACGATAATTCGGAACACGTATATTCAGTCACGTAATGATCAGAAAAGTGTGCACGGAGCACGTTTATTCAGGACGTATCTTGCGGATCAAGTTTTGATTGCGAAGTGTTGAGTTTTGGCAAACCCATTAGTTATCAGATAACTCTAGCATAATTCGTGTGAACATTAATAGCTAAATATTTCTGAGTAAATTCTATTGCAGGGTTTCTATTTGGTTATTGATGAAGTGTCCCACACCACTCACCACGATATTAGTAAAAGGTCCTACGAAAAGTGGGACGGGTCATCACAAAATCTCTAAAATGTTCTCTTGATATATTGACCGACCGGAAATCGACCGCTTGGTTAAAACTTTTCAGCAAAATAATCAAAATGACTAAGAATTAAAATAAAATTGAATGAATTACCAGATGGTATCCCTGACGAAGAAGTACAATACCTAAAAATGTAACAACGCGTAATTCAAGCGATTTGGAAGACTTTTTGCCAAAGAAAATGTCATATGGCAAATAGTAAATAGAATAAAATATTTTATAATCCCCATTGAAAAATAATATTGAATTTATTTTATTAGCATATCTTATTTGTATATTACAATGACAGTAAAACTCGTTTTGTAAGCCCTCTTTTATATCCCTTTCCTTTTCTTGGTTGGCACCACTTAGATACTACAATTTCCACGTCTAATCTATACACAAAACAGTTATAATATGTGTGAAGGTTTTATTAATCGTCCGTGGAGTGGTAGATTTTCCACACTTTTTGGCCCTTTGATTCACTCTTTGGCGGCGATAACTAAGTTGTCCTTTAGTTATTTTCACGGCACAGAAACTGTCGTTCATAGAAGAAGCTAAATGGGCTAATTCGTCAGCATACAATTATGAAATCAGATGAAGTATGACCTCTTCATGGCCTAAACGTTCTATTGCACTTTGACTAGACCCTTTTTCTTTTTTTAGAGCAGTGAATTTGAATACAAGACAATAGTGAGTAATGATTTCCCTATAATGTAAGAGACAATTACAAGCGTCATTAACAAGGTTTATAGTTAGGCGGTCAATTCTTCCAGTTGACTGAAGTGGAAATAGTCTTGACAAATTATGCTCCAATCAATATTGCATTTTATCAAATTCTGAATAAGGCGGAGGTGGTGGTGCGTTGGGTTCCATAAAAGGAGGCATTGGAGGAGGAGCCGAAGGTAAAACATAAGGCAGTGGAATCTGCATTGATGAAATTTGAGGAACCTTTTCGATAGGTTGTCTTGGGTAATTAAGCTGTTGAGAAAGATCAGTTACGCAAACCCATCAAAACTATCAAATTTTAATATCATTGCTACTCAAATCAAATTAGTACAAACCTTTGTCAGGGCTTCAGCGCTCTTTGGGTTATAAGCAACAGATGCCGACTTTGAGGAAAGTAGTTTAGTAAAAGTCGGAAAGTAAACAGATGTTATAATAAGTAATGCAATTCCGAGAACTGTAAATAAGACTCCGCTTCCTCTGGCCGTTCTCGATCTAAAATGAAAGGAAAATTGTTTTTTAATTAACTATTTACCCATTGCAATGTTATAAATCACTTGTTAGCACGAGCTTAGTATATGATAAGCCAAATTTCATAGTTTATATTAAAAAACACAGCAACCACCTCCTTATCAGTATGCCGAAAATGGAGTACTAAAGCAACTCGAAACTACGATACACGGGCACTTTAAGTTAAGCAGTACATATTCAAATTGGTGTTATAGAAACTTTTAATAAACCATGTTGTTGCTAAAGTTTCATCATCTTAAACCATAAAATGAATCGTCAAAACCTTCTTAAATGCATGAAACGTAGCCAACTCAAAATGCGCTCGAAAATATCCTCTAACTGCACAAATACAAACGAATTAAGAAACTAAGTGGCAAAAATTGGATAAAGCCAGAGAGCTTTGAGCAGAATCGATCAAATATAGCACCACTTGCCTATCAGGTCCATTAAATTTCACGAGGAGGAAAATGCCCAATGAAAGAAAAGTGATGGTTAGGGCGGAGAAAATGTACGTTCGGATTTTGAGGAATTTGCGATATTCTTGAC